CTTCTTCTTCTTCTTCTTCTTCTTCTTCTTCTTCTTCTTCTTCTTCTCCTCCTCCTCCTCCTCCTCCTCCTCCTCCTCCTCCTCCTCCTCCTTCTTCTTTTTTTAAGGTTTATTTATTTACTCTGTATACAGTTTTCTGCCTGCACACCAGAAGGGGACACCATATATCTTTATAGATGGCTATGAGCCACCATGTGGTTGCTGGGAATTGAACTCAGGACCTCTGGAAGAGCAGCCAGTGCTCTTAACCCCTGAGCCATCTCTCCAGCCCTAGGCTGTCATTCTTAATTTTCTTCTCTATTTCATCACTTTCATTGATACATATATGGTAGAAAGGAAGGTTATACTGAGTCTTAGTGTGATAGGAAGTGTCAGGGTCCGATGCTAGCCCAGACCCTCAATTATTCCTCTTGACCAGACCCCAACATAAACTCTCTCTCTGGATCGGCGTGGAGGCGCGGGAATAAAGACACAACTCACATGGCTTTATTGGGAGGGAGAGTCTCAGTGGTCCCTCATGAAATCCTGAGTTCACATCCTGAAGAATTCCTCCGGTTTTATTCTCCAAACAGCTTTTAAAACCAAACAGGTTTTATTCTCCAAAACATAAACTGAGTGGGAAATACACCAGCATTCTGTCCCATAGATAACCAGGTGAATGACTTTTTGTCACATCCGCATCTACCTGTCTGCTGTGTATGCTAGCTGTCACGTAGACTTGAATTAACATCTCTATCGGGCATCCTCCAAATTACAAAGAAAGGAGCAACACGGTAGGCTACTGACCACCCTCGGATACTGACTGTGGCTTACACCCTGGTGAGGATGGCAGCCAGAAGACATGTGGATAGCATGGAGTGTGCTTGAGGTACTGAGGTGTAGCCAGGATCCAAGCAGTCACTGTTAGTGAGTGATCTGGGCAAAGTGGAAATCGAGGGCATAAGGTCAGTGTTCAGAGGGTCTGAGAGTTCCACATTCAGGGTTGGTTTGAGGGGCCAGGCACACAGAGTGAGTGAGACCCAGTTCCCTGCATACAGCTTGCCTTCTGGTGAAGGTCAACAAGAAACAAGCATGGACTGAAGTTTCTGGGTTCCAAGAATGAATGTCATTCACCAATTTCCCACGTGCAAGAGATGATTCAAGCAAGCCTGGTTTCAACTCATCATCTTTCTTGGGCTCTGAGGTAGTCTGGCATGACTTGGGTCATTCTAAAAGATGGTTATCTTTATCTGGAGAAGAGATGGTCAGTGATTAAAAATGAATTTTCTTATTTATGCTCCAAGGAAAACAATGGTACTGATAACCTAAAAGCAGGGGCTTTCAGATATTTACAATCTGAATAATTAGTGAAGACCTCAAAGAATTTTTTATTGATTATATTAGAGCTAAGTGTGGTGGCTCACACCTGGCACCAGCATCAGGAGGCTGAGGTAGTAGGATCACTACAAGTCTGAGGTCAGTGTGGGCTACAGATCAAAACCTTGTCTTAAAAGACCTCCACATTTTTAAAAATTGTATTAGTAATTAAGGCTGAAAATTATAATGTAGTTATTTTACTCATTTGAAAACAATAACTCAGTACATATTACTATAAATAATGTCTTTAATGAAAAACAGGTTCTTTTTTTCACTATCCTTTTTTAAATTCATTTTTATTGAGCTCTACATTTTTCTCTGTTCCCCTCCCCTTCAACCCTCTCCCAAGGTCCCCATGCTCCCAATTTACTCAGGAGAACTAAACAATCAGATTCTAAACAAAGATAGCCCAGAAGGAAGTACAAAGCCCTTTAATGTCTGGTTTAATAAACGACAATTGGATTCCCACTTCTGCCTCTTGAGTCGCTCTAGTATATTGTCACAAGCCATGGAGTCTCTGGGAATTTCCATTGCCTGCTTCAGAAAATGCAGGAAAGAGAATGGTATTTTAGTAGTCTGGAAAGGTTTTAAAGTGTCAGGCACCCCGAAGAGTCCTAAGTCTTACAGGGGTCCCCATACCAGGCTTTTATACTCCTGCTTTAAAAATAAAACCCACATCACCTTTTACTGGCAATAGATTCTTAGGAGGTCTGGGGAACTGTGCCTCTGGCCTGGCTCGTTACTCATTCTCTTGTCTCTGAGGCCAGGGGAAATGGAAGGCAGCATAACTCATCCCTGTCTGTGCACTTTTCCTAGGGATACATGAGCAAACCCAGCTGCTCACCCCAGGGAGGACACCAAGGACACAATCACTTCTACCCAAGTATAGCTTGTGAGCCACTGAGTTTAATTGGAACATGGACCATGGGCAATTTATGGATGGCTGCATCACTGGAGAAAAAGTCTCACCCCCTTCCAGCAGTTGTTAATTACCTTTATAGCCTTGTGATTAATCAGCGGACACTTTCTGTTCGGTGGCCAGTCTCTGGGGTAGGCAGCCTCATCCCTGTGTGACTTGTATAGAAACCACCTGTGATCTAAACTGTTTATTGAAATTCTGGTTGGAACAAATAGTGAGAGAGGAATAAAACTAGACCCATAGAAGAAGAGAGCAGCCGGGCTGCAGAGACGGCTCAGTGGCTAGGACTGTTTGCTGCACAATCATGGAGACTGGAGTTTGGTTCCCAGTACTGCTCTCACCAGCCAGACATCCTGCACATGCTTTAATTTCTGCTCTCAGGGATCGGATGTCCTCTTCGGGTCTCCTTATGAGCACAGGTGCTGTTCTCTCTCTCTCTCACACATACGCGTGCACGCCGCGCGCGCACACACACACACACACACACACACACACACATACATACACACACGTTTTAGAAGGAGAGCAGATGATCGTTACCAGGAGTTGGCACACAGTGGAGTAGGAGATGCTGGACATAATAATAATAGTAATAGTAATAGTAATAATAATAATAATAACAATACATTTACACTCAACTACAAGCAATAAATTAAGAATGTGTTTATAATATAGCAGTTAAGTATGTGAAGTAATGAATATGTTAATTAGCTTCATTTGACCATGTCACAGTATCTACATATATTACATACATATCTACATATATTACGGCATCATACTTTATGCCACAGATATGCACATTTTAAATTTGTCAATTAAAGTAAATAAATAAAACATGGCAACAAAGAAGACCAGACCTTGAGTCCATCTGATGACTGCACTGTGTTTGCTGTGGCCCTAGAGCCTGGAGACTGGCTTTGTCTGTTTCTGTGTCCTCACTGTGAGCCACTCAGCTCTGGGCGGTGGTCAGCTGAAGTGACACGAACCTAAATACCAAAATCAGGAGGGGTGGGGTGTCTTTTGAATGTTGTTTTATTTCAGAGTGCCTCTGGAATGGTTTAAGACCCTTTGAACTACATGTTTTCTTCTTCTGAGAGGCCACAGATGGTATCTCCGGTGAGTAAGGATACCATGGAGGGTCTACAGAAAGCGGCTGGTGCTTCCGAGGTTCAGGCTCCAGGGGAGCAGGAGTTGTTGCCAGCAGGCCAAGCTCAGGTACACACTGAGGTAGGGGAGTATTCAGGTTCTGTTGTAGAAAAGGGGGAGCATCTGGTACCCAACTTAGGCACATAGTGGATGGGTTGGAAATAGCACTACTGAGATGGTGGCTCTCAGAATTCTGTCACCCCTAACAGGTATGTCCAGCCTTGTGACATTGTGACGTGTCCTCATCTATCAAGTTCACACTCGAGCATTCTTGAGCTTCAGATTTTTTTTTTTTTGAAACTGCAGTTACTTCAAACACTGCAGTTTCCTGTAAACTCCTAGCCAAGATCTGGTTTAATTTACTTAGCCGCGTGGCTGAGAATGGAAGGACTTGGTCTCTGAAACAGATCTTGTGAGAATACAGCCTGGGAGGATCACAAACTTGATTTACTTGCACAAGTACAATCCTGGCCTCTTAGTTGGCTTGCTGACTCCATGACATGCTCTCTCCTGTGGGCAGGGAGCATAGATTTCTTGTTGAATTGCCTACCAGCTAGGGAAGGAACAGGAAATAAAGGTATAATAACACAAAACAAGGAACACAGTGTAGTGATGTGGAGGGAAATCCCTCTAGAGTGACGGCAACTTCTGGGTGGGTTAGTGAGGGCTTTTTGTAAAAGGTGTCATTTTTTTTCTTCTTCATCTTCTTTTTTTTTTTTTTTTCTTTTTTTTGCAGAGGTTCTGAAGCAGTGCGCAGTGGGTGGGGGGTTCAGGGACAGGGGAGGGGACTTTTCTAAAGTTGCAAGACAGAAGAAATGAATCTTTAGGGGACATTTTGGTGATGTTAAAAAGTAGAATTTGGGGGTAAGAATTTCTCTTGGTAAGAGAAGGAATGTTGATTAGCCCATTAACTTTTGGGTTGTGGTTATCAGGAAAGATGGCACCCCCTGTATTTGGAAAGAGGCTGATTGGAATCTGCCACCACGAGTCCTCTAACCAGAATTCTGTTGTGCAGATGGCCAAGTACCAGGCTCCACAGCGACCCGAAGACACGGTCATGATCCAATCCGAGCACAGTGGAGCTGTCGACGTCCTCTCGACAGATTTGGAGTCTGCAGATCTTCTGGGGGATCACAGGAAAGGTGAGACCTTTGCAGTCATTTCCAGTAGATGCTTGAAGGACGGATGACAGATGGAAGGACAGACAAGGGTGTGAAAGGAAGTGATGGATGCTGTTAGAAAGAACATTATATGCTAACCTTCCTAGCGAAAAACCAGTTCCAGAAGCATTCCCCACTTCTGTCTGTTCTTTCAGTCTCTCCACCACTGATGGCGCCTCCATGCATCTGGACCTTTGCCAAAGTGAAGGAATTCAAAAGCAAGCTGGGTAAAGAGAAGAACAGCCGTCTGGTGGTGAAGCGGGGAGAAGTGGTCACCATCCGGGTTCCCACCCATCCCGAGGGAAAGCGCGTCTGCTGGGAATTCGCAACTGATGACTATGATATTGGGTTTGGAGTTTATTTTGACTGGACCCCGGTAACCAGCACTGACATAACTGTGCAGGTCAGTGATTCTAGCGAGGATGAGGACGAAGAAGAGGAAGAGGAGGAGGAGATCGAAGGTAAATTTAATTTTAATTCAGTTTGTTTAACGTGATTGCTAGTGGCTGCTTTGTGGATTATAGCATTTCTCCTCCCCATCAGAAACTCAGCCTTGCAAGCTGACAGGGTGGTATTGATCTTTGGTGGAAAGCCACCCCCATCTCTCCCCTCCTCGCTCTTCCTTTCTCTCTCCCCTTTAACTAGTAATTTCCTCATTCTGTGTGTATGGGCAGCAGGGTTTTCCAGATCGCACTGAAACCTGAGATTATGTTTTTTTCTTTCTGTTTTGCAATATTTATTCTTGACCTTGAGCCATACTCAATGGTTATAATAAACTAAAGGTACCCCTCCCTTCTTTCTTCCGTACTGCCATTGCGGGCAGAATACAAATTTTTTGCTTCATGTTAAAAGTAGTGGTCTCTGCTTCATTCTTTTTTAAAAAAAATTTGTTTGTTTGCTCTTGTTTTTCAAGATAGATTTTCTCTGTGTAGCCCTGGCTGTCCTGGAAATTGTTCTGTAGGCCAAGCTAGCCTTGAACTCAGAAATTCACCTCCTTCTGCCTCCTGAGAGCTGGGATTAAAGGTGTGTATCACCAGCACCCAGCTTTAAAATAATTTTGTTACTATTGTATTATGTCTCTGTACCACATATGTGCCTGCTGCCTGTGGAGGCCAGAAGAGGGAGTGATATCCCCTGGAACTGGAGTTACAGATAGTTGTGAACCAAGATGTAGGTGCTGGGAATCAAACCTGGATCCTCTGGAAAAGCAGCCAGTACCCTTAACCACCGAGCCATTGCTCCAGCCCCTCTCTACTCCATTCTTATTATTTGTTGTGTCTACTCATGATGGGACATATAGGGAGGAATCTAGAAGCAAATTCTAAGCGTTCATAGTATCCTGTAGCTTTCATGTATGACTACAAAACATTTTCTTCACTTGCTTTTTCAAGTCTACCAGGAAATCTGTGTATATTTAGGGAAGTGGGGGGTGGACCTTTTATCTTGCTATTTTTCAGGATGTCAAGTGGAAGTTTTAGGGTCATTTTGTACTCTGTGTTTAAAATCTCTATTTCCTATTTCTGTTAACTAATCCTTTTATGTACTCTAAGGATTTCCAGGTTTTGCTCTCTAAATATGTTTTCCTCATTGAGAGCCAGATACGTCTAAGGTTGTCAGGCTGGATCATGATTTCTCAGAGGAAGCATTGCTGTTTACTGAGACTCTTGGTCTCTGGGCTACTGAGTGTTAGTTTCCTATTGCTGTCATGTTGATGAGCAAGACGATCTGTGGACTCTTCCAGTGTCTGTGGGAGGATAATAGAGCCCCCGTTTGAGAAGCACTCTCTCACCTTCAGGCAGCATGTATCCAGGCTACAAACGCTTATCTAAACTCTGCCCTGTTGCTCCTGCAGAACCCGTCCCTGTCGGAGATGTGGAGAGAGGCTCCCGGAGTTCTCTACGGGGTCGCTATGGGGAAGTCATGCCTGTGTACCGGAGGGACAGCCACAGGGATGTGCAAGCTGGCAGCCATGACTACCCTGGAGAGGGCATCTACTTGCTCAAGTTTGACAACTCGTACTCCCTGCTGCGCAACAAGACTCTGTACTTCCACATCTACTACACTAGCTGAAGGATGCTAGGCTGGGGCAGGCTGTGTTTGCTGGCTGAAGCAGGCTGCCAGCTGGTGCCTCTTGTCTATAAGCAAGGGCCTCAAGTTCTGTGTGAGGCTCGCAAGCCTCGTGCCCTGCCTGGCATGCCTGACTACTGACCCCATGTAGCTTCTCCCCTTTCTTGGCTTCTGCAGGTGGTGGTGTAGTACTCCTGTCCTGTGGCCCCAACTCACGCTCTCGTTTCAGACTCCAGCAAAACCCTCTCAGAAGGCCCCTGTGAGGCAAAATGAGGTAGAAGGATGTCTTTGAAAAATTGATCCACGCTGGTACAGCTTGTCATTCAGGTGGACGCCCACTCTTCTCCAGAGCCTGTAATGCCGATATACGTAGCAGCGCCTGCCCTCTTACATGTCGAGGTGCCAAAGAGGGAAAAGCACATTGTCTATGAAAGAGCCCAATACCTTGGATGGGGAACGCTCCATCCAGCCTCTCAGCACTGCCATATTCCTGCCTGCTGGGCATTCTAAGTCTGTAGCTCAGGCTAGAAGCCCTCACTGCCTTGGATGGATATTATTACTCCTACTGGGTAGACCTTCCTCCTTTCTCTGCACCAAGTCTCTATTTATGCCATACAGCAAGAACTTCCGAGCTGTGGTCAGTGTCCTAAGATCTGGGAAGAAAAGCGGCCTCCCTCACTTGGTGTCTCCAGAGCTCTCTCCCTTACTAAGGGCGCTGGTGGTTGGTACAGCAAGGGTGGGCGGTAGGCACTGGATTATCTCAGAAGCTGCCCTTCTGGAAGTCAAGTACTAGTTGTCGTCTGGTGTGCTGCCCCCCACCTCCCACCCCGTCTGTAGGCTAGGAGTGTTATCTAGAAAGTTTCTTTGGAACCAAATACAGTGAAACCCAATCAGGTTTGCAGTGATTCTGGGTTTGTGTTTCTTCCACTGAGGGTGTAAACGTATGGCGTTCACAGTCCTTAGGGAAAGTCATGACGGCATTTTGCTCTTGCTGCTGACTGTGTGTGCTCCTGACCTGACCAAAGCCTGTAGGGACAGCCTCCTGCACTCCGTCCATCCAGAGGGTCTGGAGCCACAGAATGGAGTCATGTTGCAGCGGGTGGCCACAGCGCACCAGATGCTTGGGCTTCAGGTGGAGAGGGCAGACAGTGAGGCGTGGACCTCTGCAGTCCTCTGCACCCCTTTGTCTCTTCCTGTGTCGTCTGCCATCCTTCTGAATTTTGAATCATTAGGTTTATTTATTACTCTGTGTTTTTTCAAGCACATTTCAGTTTACCTTTGAAACAGTTCCCATCTGTTTCCCATTGCTTTCCATCTGCTCTGAGCCATTCAGGCCACCTCTTCCATGGCGTTCAAGACGAGTGTCGAGCTGGGAAAATGATTGTGCATGTCATTCCTGCATGCCAGCCGCCCTGTGATGTTTTGGGAAGAGCCTGCCCTTTCTGAGAAGGCCGACTCTAACCTTGTCCGTGTGTAGGTCTGTCTCAACACTCCCCGTGAGGAATGGGTGTGATGGAAGCCCTTACATGGAGATTGACTTAAGGAACTGATGAACCTGTCAGTGGTCAGCCAAGCACCACGGTTACCAGATGTCAGAGTCTCCTCCGACGCCCTCCTCATAATGTTTCCTTTGGCACATTTCTTTATCATGTGCTTGCCTTGTACCGAGCCCCTCTGTCCTACTGGAGCGATCATTCCAAGAGCAGCTGAGCTGAAGCTGAATCGTGTTTTCCCTGGTCGAGTGTAATCTTTGTAGAAACAATCTTGGGAGCTATTTTCAAGTCAGCGGCAGTCCACTTACTTTTCCTGTTCTCCTGTCCCCAACTCCTAGCCCACTCTCAGAAGGGCACTGTCCGGCCCCAGTTAGCACTGCCCCAGGGCTTTTGCTGTGTCTTGTCTTTTGTTCTTATCATGAGGTCATGGTGGTTTACTTTCTTGGAGCCCCAGTTCCCTTGTGCCAGGGAAGTCTGTGGGCTTCTGATCCCTCTGATGTGCCTGTCGCTGGCTGGTCATTCTGTGACAGTTATTTCTTACTTCAGCAGGGTTTTTGTCTCATGAACATAAAATGGCTAAAAGAAGACATGTCCACTGTATGATGAATTCACTATTCTCACACTAAATTTTTGTAATAAGAGAACTTGAGAGATATAGTATTATTTTCCGAAAACACAGGTAATTATGGAGAACACACACGTACCTTGGAGGTTCTAAGAACTGTCACTTCCTTGGTCCTTCCCTGTTCATGTTGCAACAACCAAATAATGAAATAGATTATCTGCTTTTACCTTTGCCCTGCTCGCTAGGGCACAGGTAGATGCTGTGCAGTTGAGACAAAGGCTTTTGTAAGAAGGCTGAGATTGAGGGTCTTTACACAAAGCGACTGACCGCTTACGTTTCCTCAGTCTATCTAAGTTTGCTCTTTATGAAGAGAAAGGACTTTTAAAAAGACATCTAAAGTGCTATTTTTTCCAACATCTTATGAAAAGTTTCAGCAAACAAAAAAGCATACACTTACATCCCACATCTATTTTTAAATTACAGACTGCCAGTTTTTAAACAAAGATTGTACCTTTTAGCTCCCTTTGGCAAGTATCCGGTCAGAGGATGTCCCCTTTCCAGTGAGGGTCAGCTCTCTGTCAGAGCCCCGCTTAAGTAGATGTCTCTTATTCAACTTGGACTGCCCAAGATGCCGCCGGGCTCCATCTTTTAGAAAGCTAGCTGGATGTCCTTTACTTCTGACTGGAGCCAAAGTGGCTTTCCTTTCTGGCTGCATGTCATGTGAAGGCAACTGCATAGCTGCACCGAAAGCCTGCCTTCTCCTCTCAGCTGACATACCCTCAGGACGCTCACATGCAAATGCGCTCTTCACAGAACACGTGGAAGCAGGTAGCCGCTTGAAAGCAGGCTGTTTTTAGTTATTTTTCTCATGGATGAATTCACGCACTTTAAAAATATTTTATTTGGTATCTAGGAAGAATGGACTTTTAAAGAAGTGTATACTGTCCCGTTATACGAATACAGACAAGTTAGTCTGTAACTGTTTTATATTCATGGGATTAGATATTATTGTGGAGTTTATAATATATGCATTTTGTTTTTGGTGAGTCCTACTCGGTTCCTTCTGTGAGAGAACTGGGCAGAGCCCAGGCCCTAAAGTATGTGATTGTATATTTATGTTTAAGGAGCACTCTACAAAATGTTGCCTTTAACATCAGAGTCTGTGGTTCTAAGGTGTGGAACTGAGTGACCCTATCATTTATGTAGTTTTTTTTAAAAATTTTTTTAGTACACAGGGGGTGGGGCACAAATTAAACAACTTTGTGCTGCTTCAACTGCCTTTAAGGGTGGAAACGGGATAGACCAGAGGAGCGGAGAGCGACCACACTATCGGTCGGGTATGTCCCAGAATTCACTGAGTGCTTCAGTGGCGCCTTGCTCATCAGAACTGTTTTGTAAGCCAGAAGCCTTACTGGTTCTCCTTGTGCTCAGTGGAGAATCCTCCAGCCCAGTTTGCCATCTGTCAACAGGGTTGGCTGCATGCATTTTTTAGTAGTTTCCTCTGCTAAATGTAACCACGACCTGAGGTTTCCTGTCTCCATCCTTTGGGGCAGAACAGAGGTAGCAGGATGAGAGAAGGACTTGAGTCAGTTCCACTCGCGGGGTGCCGAAGCCACAGTTGCGAATGTGTCCCTGCAGGCATAATTCAGATGCCTTGTGTCCACCACCACAGAACCTACAGCCATGAGAGTGCTGGGTAGCAAGCAGGCCTCCTGCAGGCTGACAGCATACCACCCTGAACCACGCAGAGCAAACCACACACAGTTTTCTCTATTAGGGCTTCTATTTGGAGTTTCTCTTCATGATAAGCATCCACACTGGCCTCTGTCCCTAGTTTCCTTCATATGACCAGAAGTGTAGAATGCCTGCACTTTGGGAAAAGGGCAGCACGGGTAGGTGGCTCCCTCCGGAACCCCTGTTGGAAAAGGTGAGCTTTCATCTGAAGAAGGGACTTGGTGTCATTGCTGCTGTGCGGGTGCTTCAATAAGGGATGCATTCTGTACAAAGCAGGTCACTGTATTGATACGTGCATGTGCTCTGGGCGCTGTCACACTCCTTTGGGGAGCAGAAGATGAGCATCAGAACAGCCAGTAAGCTGGATATCTGATTTCCAGTGACCTAAGTGAACATTCTTTGTTCCTGGTGGTATTTAGGGGGACACTCATGCAAGATTTTCTTGGATCTGTATGTATCTGATGCTGGCAAGTGACAGCTTTTTGCTTTGTATAACTTTATGTAGCACCTTGGGGCATTCCCAAAGAACATTCAGTTATCTAGGGTGAACTGTGATCCAAAATGTAGGAAAACATCCTAAGTGTTATTTGGTCAGATTGCAGTCACTGTTCCCTCTGGATGTAGCACTGCTTTCTTGGACCAAGAAGGCCAACCAGAGCCTCTGTTTGAACCATTGTCTCCAAGCTAAGAAAATACAATCATCAGTAGAGTTATTAATAGGGTATTGATAATTTGGCTCCCTTACAAATAGTCACTCCTCATGAATAAAGTATAGATAGGACACTGGGTGTGAAACTGTAGGGCTGGTCCCTGGTGTGAACTCATTATCTGATTTTTAGCATGTGGAACACAGACATGGCTCTTCAGTTTAAGATACAATAAAAATGGTGCCCCAGAGACCTAGAAATACACGCTGCTTTATGAAATTTCAGTTTCCTGTCATTTTAATTGGGTAACTTTTTGACTTATCTGGGGGTAAAATTGTGTGTGTGAAATGACTTATGGAAACAGTCTATCTCCTAAAGTGCTGACAGGATTAGGAAGATGCTGGAGTTTGGAGCTGCAATGATGTGCGGTATTACTGAAGAACCCTTAGTTCCCTGTCGGCTTAAGGCGCCCTCCTAAACTCTTCACTCAGGGTTGGAATGTCTCGTCTGATGTTCATTCTTAGCTTCAGGCCAGGACACATCTAGAAAACATTGTCTTTAATTCCTTCTCTCATATCCTAAGCAGTACATTTTATGCTAAAAATACATATTGTGTCCGGTTCTGAGATTATTGTCCCGTTAGTGAATTAGCTTTCATTTAATCAGTCTGAGTTATTTCCATTTAGTTATGCGGTCTGGAAAAAGCAATCCCATGATGCACGACTTTGGTGTATCCGTGTTCTCTTAATGGAAGCATTTTGAAACTTACAGAAGAAATGCTTGATGCTTTGTATTAAAAAAGCATTTGCAAATGCTTTGTAACAAAGGGATAGAGTCTAGAGAGCAGAGAGGAAAAGCAGAATGGGAAGGCAGGGAGGTGCTTGGCGCTCTCCTAACCGCAATCTCATTCACTTATTCATCCCAAGGGCTACTTTGGAGCCATCATCCAGATCCATGAGTGGTTTAAAGGTGATTGTGTTTTCTTTCCATATCATATGCTGCTGCCATGGTTACCAAAGGCCTGGAAGGGAAACTATATCACAGTCTTGTCTTTTTTCTTCAAAATGCAAACAGATCCAAACTAATCAGCTATTATAGTCAACTTGTTTTTCATGTCGCCCTGTCATTAGAAGTGCTGCCAGAGTGTATGATCTCCACATAAGAACGCTGCACCAATTGCTACTTAGGTCTTCTGTTCTGCCGAGGGCCTTTTCTTCTGTCATACTGCATATTTTCACCTCACGGCACTGAATGTGTTTCTGTGATACACGGTGGATCCTGAGCCATGGTTAAACAGCTGAGTTCTGTTGTTTTATAGTATGTGACAGTTTTGTGAAATGCTTTTGTGCATTTTTTGTCTTCTTTTCCAAGTTTTGAAATCTGTCATAAATAAACTTTTTCACTGTGCACCTAAATATTTGAGTTCTATCTTAACGAGCACTGATACCCATTGAGACTTCATCTTTTCAGCTTACGAGGAAAAGTATTCAGTGAACACTTGTGAGTTCTTCCATAATCTATTAAGATTATGAAAATTAAGCACAATTGAGACTAAATGAATGCCTGTATGTAAATTCCTGTCAGAGGGGATGATGGAGAGATGGCTCAGACATCAAAACTACTTGCTGCTCTTGTAGAGGACCCAGGTTCAGTTCCCAGGACCCCATGGTGGCTCACAACCATCTGTAACTCCAGTTCCCGAGGATATATTCTTTTCTGGCCTCCAGTGGCATTGTACACACATGGTATATGCATACATGCAACCAAAACACCCATGCATATAAAAATAAATTTCAAAACCTTTGGGGCTGGAGAGATGTCCAAGTGGTTGGGAGCACCGCTGGGTTCTTGCATTGCCCCTGGGTTTGATTTCCGGCTCAGCATGCTATTCCTACTCTAAGGGACCCCGAGTCTTCCTCTGACCTCTTCAGGCAACAGGCAAGCACATGGCGCACATACATATCTGCAGACAAAACACTTGTATATATACAGTTTTAAAAAATGTAAAAATTCATTTCAGAACACTCTGAAGTGGGAACTCGGTTTGGGGAAACGAGGTTTATAGCAGTGATTGGTAAACAGAACACTGCTTCAAGTTTAAAATTTTAACTTTAAAAATCATTCTCACCTGTCACATGGCAGCTCACGAGTTGCAGCTCTTGGCATTCAACAGTAACCTTAAAGAGTGTTCACAAATCAGAATGGTGCTTGACCTTGGAACCAAGAGCTAGGTGAGTGTTGTGCTGGACTAGAATGAGTATCTTAATGAACATGTGTATCCACCTGCTCACTCGATACATTTACCTCTTCCTATAATGGATACTTAAACTTTTTCAGGAAGAAATCTGCTTTTTTGTTTTACACTCCACACCCAGTACTAGGGATTGAATTATTCGGTTTATTCTAACTTCTTCCTGCTTGTTTTACTCCTCCTGAACCATTTGCGGAGTGTTGGAACCACTCAGATGTGTTCCTCCTCCACTGTGGCCACTCTGGCCCCAGGCACACCAGAACCCAGGGTCTGCTATAGAACCGGGGGTCTGCTGTTTTCACAAACCTGACAAATGAGATGGAAGGAAGGACTTGACCACTCAGCATTTTGAGCGAAGTCCCTCTTGAGAAGCAGAGTCCCCTTACAAACGTGATAGTCACTGATGCAGTTTGAATGTTGGTGACAACTCCAAAATTCAGAGATGTAATCCCCAATGCAACAGTGTTAAGAGGTGAGGCCTTTAGGAGTGATGAGGTGTTAAAGGCTCTGCCTTAGTAAATAGGGTTTAGTGTTTTATGAAGTAAACAGGAAGGAACTACTTTGTACCTTTTTTGTTCGCTCCCTTTTATTACTGGGAGACTGTGTTGATGGCACTATCCTGGAATCAGTAGCCTTCCCCTGACAATCACCATCATGGACTTCCTGTCTCCCAGAATTGAGAGAAAATGAATGTCTATACAAATTATCCACTCTCAGGGATGTTGTTATAGAGGGACAAACACACAGACAGTCTTGGGTTGGATGATGCATCTTGCCCCTGAATATAAGAATTTATTTGATGACTTGAGTTTGAAGAGTAGATTTTTAAAAACTGTTTAGAACAATTATTACTAAGCATTGTAGCCATCTGGCCCGATTGCTGGAGGAAGTGTACATATAGGGCAAGTACTTGTGCCTTTATGATCTTCTCGGGCCCCAGAGATGAATTACAGGGCAAGGGAAAGGACATCTTCCAATTTAATATATATGTAAGGGGGCAAGGCCAGGCTTGGGGTTTGATCAAGAATGAGTAATCCATGGTTTCTGGTTCAGATTAGTGTTTGTTTTCTCTCCCCCCTTCTCTCTTTCTTTGGTTTTTCAAGACAGGGTTTCTTTGTGTGGCTTTGGAGCCTGTCCTGGAACTCGCTCTGTAGACCAGGCTGACCTCGAACTCACAGAGATCTGACTGCCTCTGCCTCCCCCAGTGCTTGGATTAAAGGCGTGCACTACCGTCGCCTGGCTTCCTGTGAGTTTCCTATGGAGAGACCAAGTTGGTCTTATCCATCCAGATCTAGACTAATTTAGGAAAAGGTTCCACATGGCAGGAGGGCAGGCCAGGTATCCACTCTTCTCCCTCACTGCCATATCTACCTTCCTTTACTTCTCTCTGCTTTGTTTGGACAAAAGCAGCCTTGGGAGAAAGAGTGGTCATCCCAGAGCTCAGAGCCTGGAGCATCTAAGAGGAGAGGCTACATCGTGGGGGCAGAACCCAGGCAGTCCCTGGGACTGAGCTGGAGAAAAGCTGAGAGCAGTGTTTCCAGTCAAACAAGACATACAGACCTCAGCTCCCTGGTTAGCCACAGCAGTGCAGGAGAAATGAAGTATCAGGGTTGGGCCACAAAAGGTCATTTTGTTTTCCATTACAGACACTACCTCAATCTCCAACAGTGCCAGGTACTGGGACTTGCCCTTCCTAGAGGAGCAACTGATATACTGTCACCCAAATAATCTGACCTGGAATTGGTCAAGCTGTCTACACAGCACATGAAGGAGGCCATTTCCCATTTCCAGCGTCATTTGTGGTGGATTTTCTCAAAAGGCCTGATCCTGGGACTAGTTCAGAGACAGTTCTCCTTAGGACAAATAATTGGGTGGAGAGAGGCGTGGACCTCTTGGTGCTGGTGTGGACATGCCACAGCGGTGTGGCACTTTGCTCTGGGACCCAGCTGGTCACTAGGCACGTTTCCTGCCTATTAAAACTTCCCTCCCTGAATCTGGTTAGTTATCTCAGGCAGGCTGTACTTAGTTCTCTTGCTTGCCTTTGGGTGTCAGGAGCTAAGTTTGCCTTAGGAAGAGCAAAAGGTTAACAAGACTTGCTAATTACCAATATAAGCCCCCATAGACATTACATTCCTAAGAGCCCTTTCCAGCTAGCAGGACAGTTCATCTTCTGGCACCCAGCTCATTCCTAGTGGAACAAGTGGGAGGCTTGTCTTCAACCAATGACTAAACTCAGTGTAAATGTTTTCTGCAGTCAAGTTCAAGAAGAGGAGACGAAGAGGAGTTCAGGCTCCCCTATGGCACTTTGGTAAATCTGCCAGGCATTAACCAACATCTTTATGCCATCCTCACGGCTGCCCATGACAGACAGCAGGGGTCTTGGCTTCTCTGTTGCTGTGACAGAAATACCCTGACGAAAGTGATGTAAAGGAAAAAGGTTTATTCTTGCTCACAGTCCCAGGCTCCAGTCTACAGTGGCAGGGAGGTCAAGGCATTACTGGGAGTATTGATCACAGCTGCATCCATAGTCAGGAGGAGACAACATACGACAGTGAATACATAAACGCTAGTGCTCAGCTCTTCTCTACTCATCAAGGCTCCGGGATCCTCTGCCACCCATGATGAGTCTTCCCACCTCAGCATCACCAATATAACCCACCCCACAGACATTCCTAAAGGTCCTTCCCTCAGGTGACAGTATTAGCTATTACTAATAAGCTGCTCATGTCTGCCCACTCCTAACATATGGCAGAGAAGAGGGTTAAGGCAGGATGAAGTTGGAGGAGAGATATATTCTACTAACTCAATTTCCCTAGAGAAGACTCTGATACTGGCAGCCTCAGAGAAATGTCATGGACTCCAAGGGTTTCTGCTGCTTCCTCAGGGAAGAGGTCAAGTTCAAGCCCTCTGCTTCAACTCATTCGTTCCTGAGTCTGTTCAGTTCATCCAGCATCTGAGCCCTACTCCCTTCCCTGTGCACGAGGCATGATCCGGGAACTATGCCCGCAGCTCGGCAGGTGTATCTGGCTGTCGCCTGGGGTGAGACACTTGGAAAGCCTCTAAGGCCAGCAGGGCCTTGTTGATTTTACAGATGGTAGGGTAGTGGCTGAGGTCCACCTTGAACCTGTGGCAGAGAAACACTTGTAAGTCAGGATTTTCCACAGGGACACTGCTGTGGGCAGTGGGGAAAGCAGAGGCAGGGCTGGACGAGGTCCAGGGTTGCAGTGCAAGGCCAGAAAGCAGCCCTGCCACCTGGGGTGCCTCATTCTCTGGGATGCTCTAAATGGGTCTGGAGTGGCATTGTCTGGCATCATTCTCCTTCTGTTCTTTTCTAAGAACTGCTGTGAACTCCAGAGTCAGGCATTTGTGTAGACTGTCCTGTCAGCCACAGTAATAGTTTCTTAGGGGAGGGAATGCGCTGTACATGTCCCTGTCCCAAATAGCAAGCACGATGCCTTCCAGCAGGGGAGCTTGCAGAGCTCACTTCTAAGCAGACACTCCACATCTGGGTACAGCAAGCGGGTATGCTTGGGGGCGAGTCCCTTAGATAAGCCACCTCCTCTTAGGAGCGAGGGCTGTCTACACAGGACCACCCAGGCTACAGTGAGCATGGTAGAGACATTTCAATCATTTCTTCTGCCATGTCTATGCTTAGCCAGGGCAGCTGGTGTGGCCTGGTGCAGTGACTCCTTGGCAGATAAAGAAGGGTTCACAGGAGATGCTATCTCAGTGTCAATGTGGAGGCCCTGGCAGTAGGGGAACGTGAAGGAATGTTGGCAGAGCTTTGTCTTACCTTTCAGCATTTGCCACTTGGGGCGCTAAGCACAAATCAGCCATGGTCACCTGGAAGAAGACCAGGGGAGTTTGCACAGGGATAATCACCCCAGACTCACTGGCAAGGCTAGCTGCTACTGCTGACTGCACTGGAGCTGTACTGGGGTGCCAACCCAACTTCCTGTCTGCTTCCGTTTTTTTCTACCATCCCTATCACCCTCTCAGTTCCTCTGGAACTGCCTGTCCTTGTCCCCCAGAACTGTAACATCTCTCCCATGCCATATTCTAGTTTCCCTAACAACCAACCTTGTGGTAGCCAGAGAAGGCCTGACTGCGTTGGTGGTGGTCAGTGTGCTTGTTGAAGCCACCACTGCTAGGGACTTAGTGAGG